GCCACCGCGCCCGGCCTAGGATCCTTTTCTAATACATATTCTGAAAAGCTGTGGCCAGATTCATTGTCATTTGATTAAAAGTTTCATGAGAAAAAACTTGTCAGTATTCTTCAGTTACGGTTGGAGTGTCCCTACAGTCTGAGAAACTTCTGTGAGAGGATTTACTGAACAAAGGATGCTGTGGAGGGCGATGGGTTTTGGTTATTTTTGCTATCCTCTCATTCTCATGCTAACCCCCTCCCTATTTTTTTCTGCTTCTTTTTAACTTATACTTTGTCTTCTGATTTTAGAAGCCTTGTGGTATTCAAGGTGGGAGCAGCAGACCAAACTGTGCATTTCCCTTTCCTGTGAAATCCAGGACTAATGACCAGTGGAAGCCACATAGCTGGGCTTGAGAAAACTTTTTATTCCTTTTTCTTTCCAGTCCTGATTGATCCTGCTGTTTGATATGTCCAGTTCTTGGGCATTACCCCTTTAATGCCATCAACGTGCTTCCATGGTCTTGCAGGGCAGAAATACATTAAGGTCACTCCTTCGTTTTGATTTCCCAAGTAGCCAGTTATTCAGATAGCAATTGGAGGCTTTTGTTTGAGGCAGATGAAAAACCTGCTTATTTCCACGGAGAGTGGAAAAACCTAGAGTTTTTTACTTTATGGTTTGGTTTCTTTTCTTTTTATTCTAATTCATTTCTGTCAGGCAACTCAGTTGATTCACCATCCATCAGCTTTAAAGACATCTGGTCATGTATATATAGGCTGTTCGCATAGACCCAGTTAGAAACATGACATATTAAATTTGTGAAATTTAATAACAATAAAGGTACAAAGACTTAAGCTTGTGTACAAATAGGTATTTTTGTTTAGTTTTTATTGATTTCGGAAGTGGGGGGAAATATAAATAGGGATGTACAGTGACAGAGATTATGTCAAATTCCTATTCTCTTGAATCTCCGTAGACTAGTACTGTCTGTGAAAATAATCATTTGTTTTAGATATTTTTTAGTGAGTGTGGTTGTGCATTAAATTTATGGCCTCTGAAATATTCTCCTGATTTGGGTAACTTTTGCAGTGAACACAGAACATATGGCTCTATGGTATTTACTAGAAGTGAGTTTGAAATGGTTTCTTCTAAAATGAATAATCCTAAAGTCTGGAAATGTAAAGGCATTCTATTTAGAGTACTTAGAATTAAGAGGAATTAAGATAGACTAAGGAAATGGAAACTTCATATAAACAGCCCTTTCTTTGTAGTTGAAATTCTAAGAAGAAGGATCACTGTAAATCTACACAGCTAAGCAGATAAATTACAAAATAAAATGAAGTATAGGTTGGCTGCCATAATTCTGAGTTTACTGCTTTGGTCTTATTTCCCCTTCTTGTAAACATTGTTAGAGTTAGCAGGAGAGGGTTATGCAGTGTATAAAACAACACATACCTACAATCAGGTTGTTATAATAACCAAGATAACAGTGATATAGGGTAAATTCCATTATTTGAGTGGGGAACTTGGTCAGGTTTTAGATAAGCAGAGTTCAGAGTTTTAACTTCCAGGAGGGACAAGATAGAATTTTCAGATAACTGAACTTTAGTTTTAGAGATGAAAAAGGTTTGTTAGATAAGCCTTCTTTGAACTAGAACTGTGTATATATATGTATGTGTGTATATATATATCTGTGTATAAATATATATACACATTTACTGTATACATGTATATGTGTGCATGTGTTTGTATGTATATGTATATATAAAAACTGAATACATAGGCCTTTACTGTGCTCTCCATAAGAAACTTGAATCAGAAATTTATTAAAGAACAAATGTGAAAAAAAAAAAAACAAATGTGTTAGCTTTCATAGACTTACATTTTTGTTTTCATGAAGGAAGAAATTTTTTAATCAAGAAGTTTGCATAATATCCCTTATCGTCCTATCTGTATATAGTTTACTTAAGAAGGCTACTGATGTATATTTCAAAATTGTTTTTGGATAATAGCAAATGCTTTCATTAATTATTGTTTCTTTGAAGTGTCCAGATTTATTGAATTAGTTTCCCTATTCTCTGAAATAAATTTAATTTGTTATATTTAATCATTTTCTCATAGCTTTTCTTACAGTGGGCCTTAGAAACATTATAAAAGATGACAAACATTTGCTCTTTTATCCATTTTATACTTTATCCTGCTTGGCCCTCCCTTTTCTTCCCTACAAAGAGATGTATTGCATGCATACTATGAAGTGCCCACACTTGAGAGTAACAGAGACCTGGGTATAAATCCTAGTTCCAGCACTTTTGAGCTATGTGACAGAAGGCAAATTTTAAAGGTCTAATCCTTAGTTTTCTCATCTGCAAAATGGAGATAATAGTTGCACCATCACAGGGCTTTTTTTAAAGGATATTAGTTAAAACCATGTCAATAATTTAACACAGGGACTGACCCATAGTAATACACTCAGTGCTCTTAACTATTATTATTTGTATTTTATCAGTGTAATTATTATTGTTGCTGATCTATGGTTATAATTTATTCTGAGATCAAGTTCCTAGATTAAATTTGGTTTATTGAAGTTGGTCATCTCAACTCCTTTGACCCTGGTCTGAACCATCCATTTTCCTTAGCCCTTTTTTCTGTCTCACCAGAGAATGAGCCCAGGTGATCACATTCCATGCCTGTCACCTCAGCAGAGCAGGCTTCCAGAAGATCCTGAAGAAGTAAAGTAAGGAGCCCAGCTTCTAGAATCAGAATGCTTGGGTCCAAATCCTGTTCTACCTCTTGTTAGTGAGATTACCTTAGGTAAATTACTTAATCCCCCTGGGCTTATTTCCCTTATCTGTAAAATGGGATTAATGATACCTATCTTCATATAGATGTTATGAAGATTAAATGAGTTAAAAGTATGTAGAACAGTGTCTGGCACAGAGTACATGCTCAATAAATGTCAGCTACTAGTGTAGCTGTTGCCATTTTTATCATTTAATTCTCCAGGGCTTTGTTTTTTTTTTTTTTTTGAGACAGAGTCTCACTGTGTTGCCCGGGCTAGAGTGCCGTGGCATCATCCTAGCTCACAGCAACCTCAAACTCTTGGGCTCAAGCGATCCTCCTGCCTCAGCCTCCCGCGTAGCTGGGACTACAGGCATGTGCCACCATGCCCGGCTAATTTTTTCTATATATTTTTAGTTGTCCAATTAATTTCTTTCTAATTTTAGTAGAGACGGGGTCTCGCTCTTGCTCAGGCTGGTTTCGAACTCCTGAGCTCAAACAATCCGCCCGCCTCGGCCTCCCAGAGAGCTAGGATTACAGGCGTGAGCCACCGCGCCCGGCCCAGGGCTTTGTTTTTAACAATGTTAATTTGTAAAATAATAACCTCTTGGTTAGATTTCTCAGACTATATATATCACCCAGTCAATGGAGTTGAGATCCAGTTCAAGAAACAATTATTAATATATGTAGGCATTTAAGTGCTGTGGGGGGGCATTTATCAAAAAGATATATTCCCTGCTCTCCAGGAGTTTATAAACTGGTAAGAGAGATAAGATATGTTCAGGGGGTAACTATTATGCATGGCAAAATACTACTATCCTTTTTATAACACATAAAAGGTAGCTTACAGGAGGTCTGGAGTAATTCTCAATGCTGGGGAGTGAATTGGAAGTTCAGATGAAGAGGGCAGAAAGTTCATGGTACTTGAAGAAGAGTAACTGGACACCTTTGATGGGATGGCTTAGAATGAGAGAGACACAGCACAGGTAAGAACACACCAGGGAACTATCACTGTAGCAGGGGAAAGAGGGGTGAGGTAAAACTGGTAAGAGAGGACCGTGAGAAGGTGGGGTTGAAATTGGCTCGAACATTTTTGTATTAATTCTGGAGAGGATAGTGATACCATTAAAGAGGATATGGGAAGCAGATTAGGTTTTTAGGAGAAAGACAAATTCTACTTTGGATCTCTAGAATTTGAGATGTAGGTAGGAGCTCTAGTTATGGTTTTGCCATTCTTGGAGGCCTCCCTAAAATCTGCTCTGTGGATGGAAAAGTCAGATATTAAGACATTATGATTCCCAATAGATGCAAGTTTCCCTCAGATGTGACTCGCAGGGCCCCTACAATTGAAGACTTACTATGTAAGGAGACTTTCCTTGGCCCATGGGACCCTCCTAACCCTCCTTCTCGGAACATTTTCTCACTTAGTCTCTGAATGACAGCTGTGCCATCGTCATTCTGCGTAGTGTATGGTTGTAACACCCTTTTGGTTTCATTGGCTTTTGAAATAGAGATGACTGATTTTTAACTTTAAAAAAAATCCCTATTAAGTTGTTTGATTAAGCAGTGTTGCCAGAGTAGAAATAGGAGAAATACCCATCATTCTCTTCTGGTCCGGATGTGCTTTGAGTCATCTTGCTTGGTTGTTTTACCTCAACAGAAAAAGGCTCTAAGTGAAGAGGAAGAAGAAAAGAGGTATATTAATGGTAAAATATTTTCTAGTCTAGAAAAATCCATTGCTTGGTGAAATAGCTGTAATTTTTAGATACAAAAGAGAAGAGTATACAAACAACCAGTACTTCCTGATCTATGTGAGTAGCTGTTTCATTCACTATACTTACGGTGGTAAACATTTGCTAACAAAGTGTAGAGCATCTGGAAAGCTTTTTCTGCTGGATGGTGGTCCTCATTATGATATTTTCTTTGAGTTTTGAATTGCTGTTTTTTAGTCTTAAGAGGAGGACCCAGTGTTGTAGGAAGTTTTGAGCAAGAGGCAAGACTCTGGTACTTTGTGGATTGTTATCGCCCTGCAAGACCCTTCGCAACTTCCTCTCGCCGCCCACAGCAGAATACGGAAACCCTGCTGTATCAGACCACTTCTGCAATTACAGACAGTCGCAATTCAAGGGGATCCTTCTTTAACACTACATTTTTCTGTTTTTAAGACACATTTGAAAATGTGTCTTTTGAGGTGGAATACTCTGCTGACCCTTCATTTGTCCTTTCTCTTTGCTGCCCTGCAGTGCTGCAGTTGAAGCTCCAGCAGCGCCGGACCCGGGAAGAACTGGTGAGCCAAGGGATCATGCCGCGTAAGTGCCTCTCTCTTTCTCTCTCAGCATTTGACAGAGTTGCTTTTAGGACATGGTTGTGTGTACCCAGTATGCCATGGGAAATACCTAATGTAAAACAAGGACTACAGGTTTTGTTTTCCATTCTTTCCTTTCTTGTGCTTTTCCAACTTCAGGGACTCTCAGTTGCTAAATAGTTAAGATAACTAACTGATCAAGTTCAGTGAAACGAACATTAGGTTTAAAGCTTGCCGTTGAATCATCCTTAGCTTTGGAATTGCACCTTTAAAAGGGTTGCCAAGCCCTGTACAGTTCCATTTATCGGAGGGGCAGATCTTGAGCTGGAGGTTGCAGTATTGTGAGGAAGAACCCACTTTTTGTATATGTTTTGCCTTTGTGTTCAGGTTCTTAGGAAGAGAAACCTCTTACCATCTGGTATTTTGAATCAACCACAGTTTTCTTTAGAGTGAGGTCCTCAGATACCCTAAGGCTGGCAGGGGTGTGAGCATGGCTGAGTGGAGTAGTTCACAGTGCTGGGCCCAGTAGGTGCAGAACTTCATCCCTTAGGGGAGAAATGAAACCAAACCTTGGAATCTGTTACAAGTAAGAAAATTTGCTCTTAATACTAACAGCATCATAAAGGGAGTAGAAGCTAGAGCCAACAAGATACTGCTCTTTCTGACATTTCTTTTTTAAGTCATTATCAGAGAACACAGGCTCTCCCTCTTTTCTGTTTGTATGTTAATCACCAGTTGAATATGCTCTAATGAAGTTAAAAAAAAAAATGTCTTACAACTACTTGTGGCTTTATAATGGGAGAACTGATGTTTTTTCACTTTAACTCAATACCTGCTGACCTACTGCCACCGTATTTTCCTTTCATTTACTCATTCATTCAGAATGTTTAAGTACCTAATATGTGCCAGTTGATACAGCAAGATAAATCTGGTTCCTGCTGTCAGATTTATATTTAGAAGGGCAAGATCGGTAATAAACAAGGAGACAAATAAATAAGATAATTTCGGAGCATGGTAAGTGCTGTCAAATAAATGAACTGGTTGGTGTGTTAACAAGTAATAGGAATAAGATGGGGTCACTTTGGATAAGATGGTTAAGGAAGGCCTCCCTGAAAAGGAAATATTTGAGCTGAGATCTAAAGGATGAGATGGAGCCAGCCATTCAGAAAGCAGGGAGAGGGCTCAAGGGAGGAAAAAAAGCCTAAGGGCCCAGTGCAGGTGAGAGCTTGACGTGTTTAAAGAGCACCAAGGAAGCCAACATGGCTGCAGCATGGTGGAGGCGGAGTGTGGGGTAAGTGAAGACAGGCAAGGTCCCTTTCACCAAGGACATCATGTATTTAGTGTCTACTTTGTGCCCAGGGGAGTCCTAGATGCTATAAAGATTAAAGAAATAAGAGGCAGGGTACCTGCCTTCAAGACATTTAACAGCCACAATTTGGGTAGCCAAAATTTACCCAAACACAAAATAAAGAGCAGTTGAATGCTCACTGTAATTACAGTACTAGTTCTGAGAGAATAATGCTACTTCTCAGGATTTGTACTATGTTCAGGATCTAAAAGTCATGCACAGGGTGTCTTTCATTCTTTTTCCTGTCTTTAATAACAGGGACTAGTGGAGATTGTCATTTAACAGGATTTATCAATTACAGTCTCCTTGCTTAGCATTTTTTGTAGTATTCCATGTTGTTAAGACGAATGATGCTTCAGTTATCGTAGTTATCTGCTTATGTGCCTGTATTTCCAACTAGACCATGAACTCTCTTGAGAAAGTATCTTATTTATATTTCTGTCCTCAGTGCCTGGCGCTGAATGAATGAAGACAGCCAGTTGTAAAGTGCCATGTGTGCTTGTGTGTATGAGAGAGAAAGACAGACAGACAGAAACCGATACCAGTCTGTTTCAAACCTGTAGGAATTCTGGGCACAGAATTTGAAATGCTTCCATTCTGTCAGAAGCCCAGATTCTAAAATTGTTCTGAATATCTAACTGTATACTTTGGGCTGTTCTCTTTATTTGTGAAGTGAGAATAATTGCCTTTCCTGTAGGAACAGAAATGACCCACTTCTATGAGAATATTGCATTTTCCCATATACCAAGAGCCACCCGCCTTCAGCTATGGACACAATCTTGTTATTATGCTTTTCTAATTAAAGCAGTAAGTTGTAAACGCTTGCATTCTGAAAGAGAATGTTGAGGCCTAGGAGTAGTTTCAAGTGTGAATTCCCTACTCATCCATGTACCTGTTGATACATGGATTGATGAGGCTCATTTTTTTTGCCAGCCCCACTGCAGGTGAGTGACCCTCCCACATTACGACTCTGTGTCCCCTCACTCCTGTTGTAATTTTCAGCATCCTCTGCCTCCCTGACACCCCTTCACCCTGCTGTCTTCCACTCTATGTCTTTTAAAGAAAATGTGAAGAGTACTGGGGAAAAATCATAAATAGCATATTTGGAGATTTGGAGACCTGAAAAAGTCACATCTCATTTGAAGTACTTCCTTCCATTCCCATTCTGTTGGCCTGAGGAGTTTCTTAAAAGAGCCCTTATATTAATATTGAAGTTTGTTGTACAACTTAGGAGTTAGGCAGGGCCCTCAAGCTAGGGAAAAAAACAAGATAGTCATGGCTATATTTTGTCTTATATTTTGTCATTTCTGGTTTGTACCTTTTATCAAATTCTTCTCATTCCAGTCTTTTCTAGCTCTGGGAAGGAAAAAACCCATCCACCTCATTTCCCAGTACACTCACACACAGTTGCCATGTAGGACTGGCTGTCAGTATTGACATCATATCTGTAGGACTCAATGTGCTTCAGTGGCTCCCTTCCCTTCAGGGTTGTTCATGTTTCTGTATATTATTCAAAGTTGGGTTGTGGACTTTCCATAAAGTTTAGAGCAACGGTCCCCAACCTTTTTGGCACCAGGGACCAGTTTAATGGAAGACGATTTTTCCAGTGGGCGGGGGAGGCAGAGCTCAGGTGGTGATGTGAGCGATGGGGAGTGGCTGTGAATATGCTTGCTCAATCGCCACTCACCTCTTGCTGTGTGGCCCCCCGGTTCCTAAATTTCATGGAAGACAATTTTTCCATGGGCAGGGGAAGGGGGAAGTGGAGCTCTGTGGCCCAGTCCCTAACAGGCCATGGACCAGTATTGGTCTGCGGCCCAGGGATTGGGGACCACAGGTTTAGAGGATTAAAGAGTTCCCCAGTTCTCACATAGCTCTTTCTTTACTGCTTGCTCGATATGTTCTGTTCATGGCATCTTAACTGTAGGGTATAGAAGTTGAACAGAATCATTTCCCAGTATCCTTTATTATTCTCACTATGTAAACATGTTTCGAATTTAACTCCACTTAAACTCTACCACATACAGAGGCTCACATAGTCTGGGCCCTGAATTTTTACTAATGATGTCTGAAGCTTCTGTATGTCTTGAGTGAGAGGGAAGATGGCACAGATAGGGAGCTAGTCTTCAAGTCCAAGGGTTAAGACCAGGAATGCTGCCATATTCAGGATGATGACTCGCAGAGGAGAAGGATCACGTGTGGTACACTCTGTTCTCAAACAAAGCTTCCCCCGCAGCCTTTCTCTTTGACATTTAAAGGTGTACAAGGTCATAAGGTTAAGGTGAAAATTAAGAAAAATGTTCTGGCAGTGAAAGCTGTTACAGAGAAATAACCTTTTAAAGGAAAACATGGAAGTTCTCCTGACCCAGACAAATGAGGAATAAGTCTCCTATAATTTTTCTGGATGTGAGAGAATCTTCTCTCTTCCTTCTCAGTCTTTTGTTATTTCATTGAGAATCCTTGAAAAAAAACATGGAGTAGCATGTTTCTAGTGCTACAGTTAACCTCAAATCATTCATTTTCCCATGTGCGAGTAGTAGAAAAACTTTGATATCTCGGCAAGCACATGAAGAAATAATTATGCTCTGTCTTCTTCAGTGAGCTTGTTTTTTTCATTTTAAATGGCATTTCTGTGCATCCACGACAGAGTTAAGAAATTTCTTCTTACCTCTGACAAAAGGTTTTTAATGCTTGAAAGTGTCAGGGTTGATCACTATGATCTGTTTTCCTCTGAAGCTAAAATTCTTTTTTTTTTTTTTTTTTTTTT